ACGTACATTACACTAAGTATTTTTCTTCACTAAAAAACACTATCCACCTAAAACTAAAATGAGTTAGAGGATTAGTTTAACACATGATCAGACTTGTACCACTCAGATTATAATAATACATCTCTTCTTAGAAGAATTTCAAAATGCTGTTCTGCCATCAGGCAAGCAATCTGTTCACATGACAACAGAAGAGTATTTCAAATCTAACATAAACAGAATAACACAAATGGCCAGTGCCTGAACTCTACTAAGAATAAACTGATCAGAAATTGAGACATTTTTACCTAAGGAACATGGTAAAACATTTTGGTGCATACCTAGGCTATACCACTAAGTGCAGAGAAATTCACCTGCACATAGCAGGCTACAATCCACATTTCCACAGATCATAGAGAACACTACTCGGGTTTCAAGGGTCAATACTAATTGGTCAGTGATACCATCAACTCCTGTTTCACCAGGGAGAACCTGCCCACACATTCAAAAAGTACAAACACCTCTAAATCACAACTGACTTCTACAGTACCTACACACAAGCCAATAAAGCAATGCACTCAGCTTAATTTAATGCATCCCACATGAAATAAAAGGAAGACTAAAGATTGTGTCTACAGTTTTGTCACCAGCAAGCATCATAAAAACACTGATAGGACAGTCTGGGACTAGAGATAAACAGTCGTCTGTTTAATACAGTACTTATGATTCCACTATAAACCTTGTTACTGTCTTCAGGGCTAAATTCCCCATGCAAAGTGCTTCTGCCTTATGAGACAAGAAATTGATTCTCACCTGTTTACTTGAGTTTTAAGACCCTGTACAATTTAAAATAAACACTGAAGACTTTTTGCTTATTATCTATCAGAACTTAATTTTTGCCTGTATGGAAGACAACTGAGTATTTTCTGGATATTATAATGCAACTTCTGGGACCTCCTTAAGAGATCAATCCACCAAAGTCTGTTTTGATAAGAAAACTTCTGAACAAGACTTCTGGATTCAAGAGCCATTAAAAACAAACAAGTTGAATTTTGCCCTTCCTGACTGCTGCACTGTCCAACCTACCACTCAAGCCACAAACTGAGACTAAACTTGGGGTCCTGATTCAGGTGCAAGTCAGATTTACACCAGGATGCATTACCAGGCCTGTAATAGAAGAATATTACCTACAGAAACATTTACAAAGCAACTCCACCGTCTTCAAAAATTTGGAGACCATTTCTAATGTCCTTGAAGTTATCTCAGCACACTTGTTCCTCCAGGACTAATAAACCAGAAGTCCAACTCTTTTGCAACAACATTAACACATGCAACAAGTGAGGGGCTCAAATCACTTTACTGGTGCTTTTTACTAAATGCACTAGAAGAAATTCCCGTTACAGTACTGTTATACATTTAGAACAAGCCACTGATATCAGAGTAGATTCTTGTATTACTATGAAACATCCAGGAACTGTATTTCCATAAAAAAAAAAACTTCTAGAAGAAGAAACAATAGCCAGTCTTCAATGAGGATACATTTGGAAAATTGTTCATGCCATTACTTTGGTCATCTCAGAAGTATTAACACAGCATTCAAGCCCCTACCACCATACTCCACCTGTATTCCTTTGGTCTTACAAGGCAATAGGGAAGCTTATTTCCCATCTTGTTGTGGGCTGACCTTAGCTGGACACTTCATACTCCCTGATCTGTTCTGTAATTCCTCTTCTCAGCAGAACAAGAGACAGAAAATACCATGAAAAAAAATTCATGGGTCAAGATAAAGGCAGTTTAATAAAGTAAAGGTCACGTTGAGAAGCAAAGGGCAACAAAAAACTTACTCCCTACTTCCCACCAGCAGATGTGTCCAGCCACTTCCCAGGAAGTAGGGCTTCAGTACACAGAATGTTGCTCCAGAGCACAAATGTCACAGTAAGCGGCACAAAGCTCTCTAGAGAGACTGGAAATTTCCTCAACATACATGTTTCATTTCTTACTTGTCTTAAAAGTACAGAAATGTTCTGGTTAAACAGACGAGTGTTTAAGTTTTGTATGCTGGATATGTCAAAACAAGTACTAGCTAGCTTTTGTAATAACAAACATTTAATACTGCAGTACAGCTGTGCTGGACAAAGTAATAGCATTTATTAATTTTTTACATTTTTTTAATTTTTACATTTTTTCAAAGCTTCTGAACTGCTTCAGCTTCTAAAACATTTCAGCTGAAAATCAAACATAATTTACCTTTTATTAAAAAGTCCAAAATGTAAAACATACATAAAGTTTTTCAAACTGAACAGAGCAGGACTGAAGACGGGTAGAAAAGGTGTTTCTACAGATGTAATCACTGCTGCTACAGTATAATAAACAATGGTGACAGCCATATTTATGCACATGTCAAGGGTCAAGCTAAATCTAGCCTGTAACACACAGCACTATGTTTTGAAATAGTTTGTTACAAAGCTTCAAGAACACAAAAACTGGCCATTAGAGAAGCCTTCTTGTAGTCTGAATTATGCCAGAGAGCCTGGGGAAAGAACATTTCTTCTTTCTACATCCTCACACTCCAAGACTTCTGGAAGTGTTAGAGCCGTCTTCCCATCCACTGAACTTTTGCAATAGCACTACATACTACTTAGAAGTGGGATCAAAATTATCCATTTTTATTAACTTATCCAAAATTAGTCTGTCTTTATGCTCCCACAAACATCAGAATTCACTTTTAACAGTGCTTCTCTACCCACAGAAGTCAAGCAGCTCAACATGTTTATGCCATCTTACACAAAAAGCCATACCACTAACCTACCCTCCCCCATGCTCTGCACTTCCATTTCTTGCTGTATTTTATTTAGTTTTCAGCAAGCTTTTCACACTGTCCTTAATTTAGAGAACTTCCTATGAACATTCACAAATTCCCACTGTTATTCAGAGAATCCTTAATGACTACCAAAAATATGACAGTCAGAACTCACACAATTTAAAACAAGCTGGTTTATCGTTTTCAGTTTAATTTTCCACAAGCCCACACATACAGGTGTTCACATGCTTACCCAGCACCTTGCTCTGTGGTACACTGATGCTTCCTAGGGAGACAAAACATCTGCAAATCCATCAGCACAGAGAAACCCAGTTCTGAATGCATTTCTGAAGCTGAATACAGTCAAGTAAGAAAGTCCAAAGGCAACAGAGAACTGCAGTTCCTCATGAGAAACTCCAACATACTTAAGAAACCGAGGCCTCCTTACTCAGGTATTACAAGCTCAAGTCACCTTTGCCTTCGCTCCCACCAGGCTGAGGGAAGAAAACTAATCCAGAGAGTACAGGCAATGTCTATCACCCTTTAAAAGTCAAGAGATCAAAGCCTTCTTACTAAGCAGCAGTAAATCATTATGAAGTCAACTTAATTTCCAAGTGACACTAAGGAGCTAAGGTTCCTAATCAGGTAATGAAAGTATCTCTACTGTAATTTGCTATTACACTACCTTCACTTTGTCCTATCCTTCACATACCAATACTCCTTATGACTCAAAATTTACCTGTCACGAGGCAAAGATGCGAAAAGGTATTGAGAAACTTGTACAGCTATGTATAAGGGGATGGATTTCAGACAGCAAATTGGACACAGCTGCTCTTTAGTAATAGCACTGTCAGGAACAAGTTCTTAGTAGCATAGTAACACACTACTTTTCTGTAAAATTTAGCCATATCAGAACAGAATCCCTTCAGGAAAACCTAAACTACAGACTCTGCCAACCCTCTATTCCCTGTTTTCCCTTCTTAAAGCAGGGAAAGCACAAATAATCTCTACACAGGAAACTGTTAAACTCATCCCTCAATTAGTCAAGGAAAAATAAAGCAAGAAAACCTTCACTGTTGCTACCCACATAGAATAAGGAAGATACTGAGAAAATGTGTCATTTAACTGCTCCTAAACCGTTTCCCAGACAAGTACGTAACAAGTTAAAGTTGAGGAGAAAACCACCTATAAATAAGTGGCTGTGGTGCCCAGAACATCAGCACTCTTCCACAGGATATTCTTAGAATTGCCCTTGGTAATACACACAATAAACCAGACAATGTAAATTATCACTTCAGCAGGATATAAAACGCCTCTCTTTTCATAAAGGTACTCATTGTATAAACTGTTCTTTGAACAATAACCCAAACATCTGCATTAACGAACAGAAGCCTGCTAAATAATGCCCCTCCTCAGTCATGACAGGAGCCATCTGTTCATCCAGCTAACCCCAGGCAAGTGTGGCAAGCACCACCACAACTTGCTCACGTTATGCATCCTTGTACTCCATGCTTCAGTCCGTATCATTCGTATTTCCAAACTGCAACGACACTGGTGGCATTAATCATACCACCAGAAGTATTAACACACACCCCTACATTAAAGGCTCCAAACAGATAAGAAAATGACCTCCAGCCTTCAATTAAAAAACACAAGTGGACCATCGCCTTTTACGCACAGGGATGCCACCTTGTAGTTTCTGTAGTCATTCTTGTCCTGCTGGATGCACCTTCTCTTTTCTTCCTTCCTATTCTATACATTTTTAATGTAGCTGTTGTTTCAATCAAATGCCACTTTTTAAGGGGACACTTCATGGAGTTCACTGGATTCTACTCAAAACTCCCGCTAAATTTTCACAGGTTAACCCTTGCATCCAGAAATACTCGAGTAGGTCCTGTTGTTCCAAAATTCAGCGCCCTACTGAAGTGAATACCTTTTCATGCATCTTGCCCACGCAGCTCTACCAGCTCCCTGCTCTCACTACTGTCGAGGGAAGCAGCTCATCACTTGCTGCTGCTGCTGGATTCGCCCGTGCACTGGCCAGACCCTGGTACCCAGCACAGACAAGAAAACCAGCCGTCCCGGCGGACACACGTTTTATTGTGTTGAAACCCGGCGTGGGCAGGGCCGAGAGACAAGGGAGAGAGACCCGAGCCCTCCCAGCCCACGGCTGCGCGGTGCGCGGCTGCCGCCCGTAAGGAAAGAAGCGGGGACTGCTCCGTACCTGACCCAGTTGTCGCGGAACTTGCTCTGTTGGGGCTGGTTCAAGTAAATGGTGCGGGCTGGTGCCTCGTCCAGATCCGCCGCGGACGTGGCTCCGGACATCTCATCATCCGCCTTCTTATAGCCCGAGGTGGAACAGACAGGTCCTGCAGGGAGAGCGCGGAGGGGAGGCGGTCAGCGAGGGGCCGCACCCAGCGGAGCCGGGCCGGCAGCTCCCGGGGCCGCGCCGCGGGGAAGGGCCGCGGGTGGGCGGCGGCTGCGAGCGCGCCCTGCCCGGTGTTTACCACGGCGGCGGCTGTAAATAATGCGTGTCCGGGGAGGGGGCGGCGGGGCGGCCGCAGCCAGCTGGCGGCGGGGACAGCGCGGGGCCCGCGCCCCCCGCCCCGCGGGGATGGGCCGGGCCCCGCCCCGGGAGCGCCGCCCCCGCTCCCGCCGTGCCAGCGCCGCTCCCGCCGGGAACCGCCGGGCGGCCCCCCCGCGCCCCGTATCCCCCACCTCCAGCCTCCTGGGCTCCGTGCGAGGGAGGCAGCCAGCATCCTGCGCACCGCCGCGGGGCTCCGGGGCCACTCGGCTCCTTGGCGCTGCCCGCCCGCGCTCAGCGCATCCCGAGCCCAAAGCCGCGCTCAGGGAGCGGCGCAGCATCTCCGCCACAGCTCTCCGATCCCCACGGCGGGACCGAGCTGCCTTCCCCCGCCCCGGGCACCGTACGGGGGCTACGGCCGAGCATCTGGAGAGTCTGTCCCTAAAGCTAAGGCTCAGACTAAATTGATAAAAAAATACTGTCTTGCTTTACACGTGCAACTTCAAAGCTTTGACTTTAAGCGGCAGAAGCATGAAGTAATTTTCATTTCCCACTGGGTCTGGAGTGAATTGAGTTCCATAAGCATTGTTTACTTTTACATTAAAAGAATGCAAAAACATAAGGGAAAGGAGCTAGCTATTCTCTCTGTCAAAGCCTCAAAACATTAATGAAGTTGTGGAGACATTTATTGCTTTCCCCTTCCCTCCTGAGCCATGGAGATACTTTAATTTAGTTGAGCTGTAGATATATTAGATAAGAATTTATCAGCTTATTAAATGAGCTATGGACTTGCTAGCACAGGTAGCTCTAGACAAGCATATGACAACTTGTTTCATAAAAATCTAGTAAAGGTGTTATGTTAGCATTATTTGAGAACTTCGTTCAAAGGTTAACAGAAGCAATGAACTGTCCTGTGAAGCTGTAAAGCAGTAAATCTACTGTAAAGCCAAATCTGTTCCTGATTTCTGTATGAAGCTAAGATGACACTGCAACAAGCTGATCTGATCAGACAGTGGCTAAAAGAACTCCTGCAATGAATAGGAGAGGCCCCTGAAAGTACATCCTCCTTAACTAAAGTTGGAGGGAAAATTTTCAGTCCTATGCAACCTTAGCATATCGAACACCTAGGTATTTGTACTGTGTGAAAACTTGTCCTGTTTAACAGCACACACTTTTAAGCTAACATCCCACTCACCTCAGACCTTCCCAAGCCTTGGCTCTGTATTGCCAGAGCTAACAGGCTCGGTATTCTCCAGGCGTCAGCCACTGGAGGGCAACGTTCCCATTCCTCGTACACCACGGTCATGCACACAGCCTTTGCGGGGCCGGTAAAGCCGATGTAATTAACAGACTGATGTGCTTTCAACAGCACCGCCTCTTGCCCAAGGCAAGTGTTGCACACTGTGAAGTCATTCTTTGGAGACATTAGGCTGACTTGCAAGTTCGAGGCTAAATAATTGATTTTCTTTCATTCCAGTTGATACCAATTCAGACAGCAAAAATATGCCAGCTTGATCATTTTTACTTCGTGCAAAGAGACAAATTCAGAAAGTGAAATATGAAGACTGGAGACTATGCAAGGCTATGCCATTATGATACTATATTAAGTTACTCAGCCTGAAGAACCTTGCCATGACATAGAAGACCACTCAGCCTTGCTGAATGGATATTTTCCCCTTCAGAAAAACAGAACTAAATGCACTACTGGATATTTGTTGTCCTTTCCCATTGATTTCATGTTGTGTAACTGCAAAGGAGATCAAACAACAATACTCTCTTAAGAGCATTAAGTGCAAGGAAGCAGCTTTCATCAGCTTTCCTAATCAAGTGCCAGAACAGCAGTGCAATTATTCTAGAACAAACATGCTGTAAAAGTAGTTGGTTTTTTACAGAGACCTTATTTATTTGGGGTTTTTTTTCATAACATTATCTGATGTTTGAAATCTTCCTGCTGACTAGTTCTCCTTGCTGCAAAGTATTATGAAGCTGTCCCACAACTTTAAGGATTAACTGAGTCAATACAGCTGATGAAGTTCAGAGGTATTTAGGTTTAATTAACGTACTATCCTTTTGGCTGCTCTCTTCAAGACAGGTGCCTCAGGGACAACTGGTCTCATTCTTTAGATGCACTGAAATATTTCCAAAGCAGACTTACAAGGGTGTAGAAACAGCTGTAATAAGGTTTTGGGTTTTGAAAGTGGCTCAAGGCAGCTGCTTCAACTCTTAGTGGAATAATGCTCATTTTGGAAGATTATCCAATAATCCTGCCCATCAGGAATGCCTTCCACCTCCCTCCCTGTTACTAAGCAGATCACACCCAAAAGCCTGCAGAGAGTGGCCTTTACTACTGGCTGTAGATCCTCTCCTTTCCCTGCATTTCCAAAAAAGTTAAGGAGCCCTGAGCTTCTGAGGGCCTCCTAGTGGGCAGCAGGAGGCTGCTCACCCCCTTAAGAAGTATCCCCCTCAAGGACACCTGATGACATGCAGACCATCACTTCAGCCATGCAAAAGTAACTGCACCTCTGTTTCTTGTTTCAGAAAGGCTGTGGATAAACACAGCAGACTTGACCACCTCCAGCAGTGGTGGAACTTGAAACTGAAGGCTCAGCAGCTCTTATTCACAGTAGCATTTACTTCCCTGTAAATGAGGGAGTGAGACTCATTGACTTCACTTAAGGGCATGCCAACTTGTCACTCTCTCCCACAAGACTTGGATCTTTCTTGTTATTCACCCTAGGATTTGCAACACTACTATGCAATTTATTTTGCATCAAACTACTCATGCTTTAATTAGCAGTATTAATAACAGACCACTATGTCATAGCCTCTTCATTTAGAACAGCCACATCAGATTTAGCTTCACCAGATTTTGAATGTCCTAATCATATTGATCTTAAGTCTGCATTACAGAATTGTTTAGGTTGAAAAAGACCTTTAAGATCCTCAAGTCCAACCACGAACCCAGCACTGCCCAGTCCACCACTAAACCATGTTCCAAAGCAGCACAACTACCTGTTTCTTAAGCATCTTCAAGGATGACAACTCAACTACTTAGATCCTTGTGGAATTTAAACATTGTCTAATACACACCTTGCTTCAGTTCTGAGACACCTTCTGCAAGAGTTTAATACTGCTTTCCACTGTACTTTACAAGTTCAATGAGTCAGACTTGAGCTATAAACTCCCTTATAAAAAGCCCATTCATTTCTTCAAGGCTCTTACTTCACACTATTCAACGAGGTTTCTTCTAAAAATAGATGAGATTAAAGCTTGACAAAAATAAAGAGATTTTATAGCTTTCTCTCATCATTAAGAGAAACCAGACTTGATGCCCTGACAAATTCATATGGCATTTATTATCACTTGAAAAGCAATGAATTATGGTTTAATACTCTTACACCACTGGGCCTGCAAAAATGACATTTTTCCACGTGTATCTGACTCCTTAATGTCTCTTCAGTAACAGTCATAGCTTCTGCATGATTGAGTAAATAAAGTGTTGTGAATTCTACAGTGTTTTGAAAGATGAGTCACTTGGGATGCTTGTCAACTGTCAGAAGTCACAAGAGAACTCATGCCAAAATTTTATCACTTTTCACTTAAGTAGATCAGCCAGCTAGTTACTACCTCTAGCTTGGTGAAGTGCTTGCTTGCTCTAACATGTGTTCCATTTTTAAGAACAAATTATTTTAGATCAATTAAGCCTCTTACCAAAATATCAGAACCACAAGCTATGAGAAACATCTGGTTTGTACAGGAAAAGTTCACCAAAGGCTTCAGGCCATTTAGAATTAAAGCAATGTTAAGAGTGTTTACAGCAAGAATCATACTTCTGATGCTGCACACTGTTTGCAGGACTAGGACCTAGTACAAGAAAGAGCTAAAGTACACTGAGGGAAAGAAGCTACCCCTGTTTGAGAGCAAAGTTGGACTACAATCTCCAGGGGTCCTCTGACATCAAGCACTCTGTGATTCTAAGCTCAGACACTCACAAGTCAAAGTTTAAGTAGCCATACTTCCCTGTATGCTCCCAACTGTACTAAGTGACAGTTTTGAATTGAGACATATGAAAGGCAGCTTTCCTCAGAGTGAAAGATAACCTCATCCAAAAGCCTCCAAACTTGCTCATTTACAAAAAAACATGGCATTTTTGTTATTGGTTAAGCCTCAAAGAAAGTTATCAAAGCAAACACCTGAAAAGCCAAGAGCTTGCAGAGAGCTGGCAGACAAGTTTAGACTTTTGCTTGCACTGAAAAGCAAATCTGGCTCTCAACAAGCCACCCAGATGCAGTAACATGCTCACTTTCTTGGGATCTCATTTTTTCACAGCATTACCATCACAAACTGAGTACCAAAGATGACACCAAATGAGGAGTTCTGCACTTCAGAATTGTCAACAAGTTAATACACAAACAATTACTCTGAAGCGTGACTAAACAAATTTGTTTTACCTGAAATATGTTATTTCTTGCACTCTTTCCCTGGCTGCTTTCACTGTTCAACAGAAATGCAGCTGAAAGTTAGTCTAGAAGCACATAAGGTAGGAGTTCAAAGAGGCAGAGCACAGCATGCTGCCAACAGGAGATGTAGGGCACAAACTTCAGCTACCAGGTCCTCCAAGAGAGCTTTTTTTCACAGGACTGGGACATCTTGACCTTGAGTTAAAACCGGTTCATGTGAAAGAAACCCCTGATGAACAGTGTTATGATTTTAATTTTTAAGAATTTAGAAAATTGCCACAGTGTTCAACAGCATAACATTATAGGTAAACATTCTGACATAAACATGTCCAAACAAAGGACGATCTGGCAGACATCATAGTGGAGCTTTATTTTCT